AGGTTAATGCGCATACATGGTAGGTAATAATTAGGGTTCCCCTTCGAAGTGATCCAATAGGATCGGAATGCAACAGCTACTAATAAGTAAGTGTTGCACAACGGCTGAGAAAGCATCTGCGCAAAGGACCGATTTCCAGGAACTGGAGGGTATTAATTAAAGAAGAGAACGACGAGACGGAGCAGAAAAGGATGACAGACGATTTAGACGTGGAGCAGGATCATGGGATCTGCGAGTAGTAGCAAGACGAGAGCACGTGACTCGAATTTTCCAGTTTTCAGCGATTCTCTGAAACGGATGCAACCCATGGCTATGGACGTCATCGCCTCGGCACGTGATTTGATCACGTTTATCCTATAGGAGGGAAATTGTCCACCAAAATCTGCACATTCACTCCGCACCATTTCATTTAGATTAGCGTCCCATTAATTTCGTTCATTATCTTGCATCACTGCGTAGACTGTACTTTTCCTGCGCAGTTTCATTCAAATTATTAATGATTTCGTCGTTTCAATTAAGTCTTCAATTAATTCGCTCATCCTTCTCAACCAGAAGAAATTGATCCAACTGCACGAACATATTTTAAAATGATAAATTCAAACGTTCCATTTCAAACTCGCGCATGGGCATTGACTCGTAAAATAATGCCTGCACTTGCTTCTTTCCTTTCCCTTTTTCTTCCATTTACAGCCTTCATTGATACACTCTATTTCTTTCTCTCTTCTTTTTTTTTCTTCTTTTATACCTGGCCACCTGTTGTTGTCGTAATATGAGGTGATTGATATAACCGCATACCTACAACCATAATGCGAGCAGTAACTGGATGCTAAAACGCATAAAATTAACCACTAAAGAAGCACTCGAAAATGAAATAAACATGTCTCACGTTCGTCCACCATTCCGCGAATTATAAAATTTAATTGGATTAACAAATAAGGAAAATCTATTAAATCTTGGATTATTAAATGGACGATTTACCATCGTTTTAGAAATTCAAAAGGCAAAGAACGTATTTGGAAAATCTATTAATTAGTTTATTTATTTAAATACTATTTCTTTATAAAAAAAATATATAATTATTGCTTGTCTTGTAATTATTTCATAAACATTAAGACTAATATTCATTTTTTTTTTGAGTTTGCAATTCTTTCCAAAATATATTTCATATATTTTTTAATTGATTAACTTTCATAAACAAGATGTAAAGAAAATTAGAAACTGGATAAACTAATAAAGATAAAATTTCATCGAAAGTTGGGCAGTTTTCATAAAATTCTTTACAAAATACACTTTTAATTTGACTATCTTTTAACAAAAACAATCAATGAAACTAAAAGACATTCCTTAAACTGGGTGATATTATAAGGAAAATTCAATAAATCGAAGATTACTAAATGGAAAGTTTGCAATCGCTTGGAAATTCACTAAACATTGTTAATCATATTAACAAGAACACTTTTCCCAGATTTTTGTTCCCGAGAAATTTGAAGGCAATTATCGCGAATTTATATTGGGTGGGTGGGCCAACTTCTACGAACTAATGTAAAATACATATAACTTTTGTAATTGTAACTTTATTTTAGATTTTCTTTTTTTAGATGAAAGTATAGTTTATTATGATTTTTCTGATATAAGTGTGGGAAATAATATCACTTAAATGACAACCATTTTCTTGTTGACACGTAATGATTCTTTCTAATGCATTTCTGGCTCCAAATTTGTTATTTCTTTACAAATATTTTATTTAAGATGGTTTATTGTTTGTGGTTTATGTTAAATCGGGAGAACGGGGAGGAAAAGCAAAATCTGAATTTTTCTAATAATTCGGTCACCGAATTTATTGGAATATCTAAGGTATTATTCTGAATCCCGTGTTAACATTTTTTGGGCCCATCGAATTTTGTATAGAAACATCTTCAAATCAAGTTTCAATATTCGTCTTAGCTATGTTCTGGAGATGCCCAACTGAGTAGTCCATAAAATGGCTGATTAAGTTTCTAATCATGTTTGCACTGGGAGCTGTTGGTACATTAAAATTCGCACAATATTTTCGTTCATTGTTACAATACAATCGTTTGGAAATATAATAAAATTCTTTCATTTTGAGATGTTACTGCAGTGAGTATGTAGCGATTATTAACTTTCTTAAAATTCTTTATAATCTACAACAAAAATAAATTTAAAGAATTAAAAACTCAAAAGTTATAAACATTTTAAAACAGTAATCCAAGTTACTGCAGGGTGAGTAAGAGTATAATTGTAAAAAAAATATTGACCATAGTCTTTTTGTCCGGGAAATAATAATTTTAGACAAATTAGAGAGAAAAATCTAACAACCGTCCAATTATTGAGCATAGTCATTTTCCATTCATGAAACGCTGAAAAACGTCATCCTTATCAAAATATGATCCAAAGATCTACATTCTTCATAATCTTTAACGTCTGTTGATTCCATATCTCAAACCATCGTTAGGCAATTTTTTATATATACACAAACCTTTAACAGCAAGTTAATAATAGGCAAAGTAAGTAAACAACAGAAAATAGGCAGACTTAAAAAAAATAACTGAATTTGTTCATTAAACTCTGTAATTGAGTCATGCAAAATGGAAATTGAGACGCGATAAAAATAATTTTCCAACCCGTATAGTTTCATGTGAACGTGACGTGACCGGAATGGGGGCTCATCACAGTGCAAATGCAAAACCGTCTCTAATGTTTATTTAATTAGTCTAGCATGCAGCGAATCCTGAAATTCCGAAAACCCGAGCACGAATTCGGCCTACATCACTCAAATTATTTTTTTTCACTCTTCAAATAACAAATTCTTTGCTTCCGCTGTAGACGAAACGCAAATAAACGAGAGAATGCCTTTTGGAACTGTTTGCTTTCATTGGGTAAGTCGGGGCAAAGTCTATCTGCGCTCTATTCTCCTTATTTCATTGTTTATTTTTTTATCAAATATTATATTTACATTGTTTCATATTCTAAACATTAAAATTACAACGAAACATCTTGTAACTTGCATCTAAATAAAAGTGCAATATGAAAATTATCACAGTTTCATTCAATAAAAATTATTATTTGTTAATTTATAAGATCTGTAGCAGAGATTCCCAAACTTTTAAACATATCTTATGAGTTCTAATTTTTAAATCTTAGAAATATACATTCAAGATTTTATTGTGACCCATTTAAAATCGATTCACAACCGAAAATTTGCGATAGACAGTGAAGACAGTATCCAAAACGCTAATGTAAAGAACTTCACAATAACCAAAAAGTCGAGTTTCTCTTTTTGTATTGCTTTGAACTATCAACATTAACAGCAATGTAAATTAGTTGAAATAACATGTCTTCAAACTATTCACTTATTCTGCATCAGAAGGGTCACCTGTACAATATTTATGATATCAACCTTCTCTTGTTTATTTCGTATTCTCCCGTTTTGTAATGAAAACCCGTGGAATAAATTCGAATAACCTCAAAGTGAAGCCATAGTAACAATACTAAATTATCATATTAACATAACGATTCGATTTTTTAAACATATATCTATATATTTTTAGATGTACTTAACAAAAACTATAAATATATTATACAACTTATATCAAATACAATTAAAATATATACAATATTACTGAGGTTAGAACATTCCATTAATGAAGTCATAAAATATATTACACATTTCACACATATCCTAGCTTCTAAATAAATTATATAAGAGTTATTTACAATAATATTCCATGAAATAAGAGTTAATAGATTCAGAATATGGAAAAAAATATACACATTATTTTTATCAAAATCTATATATAAGAAGAATTACGAAGATAAAAATCTTTAATATTTATATCTATATATAAATTGCAGATATTTGCGTTATTTTAAATTAAATTAATGGTATTAAAGGGTAGTAATAGGTAGAATTATGAAATATTGTGGAAAAATTATATGCAAGAAATATTTGTACAAGGTTAGATGACCTGGAAACAGACTTACAAGTGAATGGTGTCACCATTAATAACATCCGGTTATCCAGTTACGATATAATAGTGGACTTTGCAAATAAGTTGAGGTATGTGAGTTTGTAAATTATATTAATTGTTCATATATATATCATAAATGAATTCGAGGTGTAATCCATTTTTGATTTATAAATAAATACAGTTTCAATATATAAACATAACACAAGACACGTCAGCTCACGTGAAAAACATGACCGTATTATTTTTTACAATTAGTATACACGCTATTATTAACATCCACTATATAAGTACTATGTAATACTGATCTTTGGAGATATGATATCTGCAAATTTGTAAATAAAAAGTAAAAAGTTTTGATATAATTGAACCTAAAAAATATTATATATAATAAATAATAATTATTATATACTTTCCTTGACCGTAACAATATTTATCCTTGATGTATAAATATATAATAGTTGCAATATATCAACATAACACATACACGTCAGTTTACGAGGGAAACATGAGATTCTCAATTAATTAGATTTTGAGATCTGCAAGTTTGTAAATAAAAGATTTCGATGTGAACATCACGATTTGCGAAATTGTTCAATCTAAAAGTATATAAATTTAAAATTATACAAGAAAGTACAGTGGAACGTATATTACATATATGGGGAAAATTGTTTCACTATACGAGTAAAAATCCGGAAATTTTGGAATTAATAATGCTCGTTAAGTGAGGTTCCACTGTATTTGTTATAGCTGAATTATTATCACTTTTTGAATTTAAAATTGTATGTATCCTTGATTTATAAATAAAAGAAGGTGAAAAGTGTCTACATGACACAAGACACCTCAACTCACGTACAAAACATGAGTTACTCAATTAATTATATTTTAACAATAAGAAGTTATCGATGATAATTTTATATTGATTATACGGGTTAGTTACAAATAAGAATGAAACATTGCTATGTTTGATGTAATTGAAAACATAAAAATGTCCAATATTTGCATGAATCTTACCTAATATTATTCACCTTATCCGAATGGTCATCATTCCAGTGTCGAATAATCCCAATATAGGCAAGCACCAAATGCACCAACACACAACACTCGTTATAAATCAAAACAATAATAATAATAATAATTATAATAATAATTAAAGAAGAAACTTCACAGAACTCACAACGCACTCTCGAATTATTATTTTTGGCTTCTAGTCGTAAGATTTTCTCCTACCCCGCGTATACCACCTATACATTTCCGGTGGACTTTACGAGGATTCGATATTACGAAGGAACACCTATAAACAAGAAACAGACACTTTACATTAATAATTTTTAGTTTTTTTTAACATTATTTTTAGAAATAAATAATAATACATTTCTGTTACATACATTGATAATGTTTATAGTGTCGAGTCAATTATTCGGTATGCTCACAATTTATTTGGGTCAAATTGCAATCTTTAATTGGTATTGATTGAAGCATAGACTTTAAATATAAATAACTGATCTGTGAAAAATTAGAGAAAATTTATAACAACTAATCGAAAATGTATATATTTATGTAAGCACTGTATATGTGCACAAAAATAATTCAATTTAAAATTGCTTAATTTTGAATCGTTAGGCAACCAGAAGTACTTTTTCTTAAGTACTGTACTTATGCATGATACAAATATTTGTTATGCGATTCCATGAAACTTGTTGAAAATGATAATACAGCGTTATCACGAATGCTTTTATGAGTTTGTACTCCTTTATCTAAATCAGTTGTGTGTATAATGTTAGTGACTCCATGTGATAATTATTTTAAATGGAATTTACCTTGATTGAACATTATATTCCAAATACGAGATAGCTGAAAAGGTAAAGGAAAATGGAGAACATAGGTAATTAATATAAGCAATACGTCTAGACACAAAACGGATCACTGAACGTTCAAAGAAATCACAATGCCCAGATCGTTATCGTAGCCTTCTCGGTTTTTATTTTGTAGACACACGAGCACAAAACGCGCAGGGGTGAGTTACCACGACTTAGAGACAAACAATATAATAAAAAAAAGTGGTAGAGGTGTTGTACGATGAATGGTGAACCTTTTTTTGGATGGATGTGACCACCGCAAACGGGCTCTGGACGTGCGTGCGACTGTATTATGTATTTCTTTCTATGTGATATTTTCACGTAAGCCTCGAATACAGGATGGAGCTCATTAACGCCATATATAATATACACACTAGTCTCATGACCTGACGCTGCCAGCGGCCCTTTTACATGCACCCGATCAACGGCACCAGTAGCGTAACATTCGATATTTTTTTTACCAATACCTTACCTCAGCCTGTAGGTAAGGTACATTGCTGTTCGAATCATTTAGTTTTGTTTGTTTATGTATGTTTATCTTCATTGAAATAATCATAATATTGCAAATTGACCTCAGATAAAGAGACATATGAATTGATAATAAATCCAGTTTAATAAGGAATCAGCTAAAATTAACTTATATATATTCATTAAGAGCAAATCCTTTGAAGAAGTGAAACGTTCGTTTGTGAATCATTCAATTGAAATGATATTATACAAATATGTGCATCAATTTTCTCTATAATTTAGTATACAAGTATAATCACTAGAGTAAATGAGCATATACCTTACATAAAAATAAGTAAGTTTAATAATTTCTTAGATTAATTAATTTACTATTTTTTGTTTAACTGCACATATTTTTTTAAATATAAACAATATTTGTAGTTATGAATTGCGAACTGATGCGCCACTGAAATACAATGGGCGTTAAATGACCATATTTGTAATGAACTTTCAGACAAATCGGACAACGAACAATTTATTTTTTATTTTTCACGAACACCTTATCGACCTATTTGACGTTACTTTTGGAAACTAGTACTAGTGATATGGAAACTAGTGATATGAAACTTAAGGGGATTGTTAAATTGAAGATCGGTTGACGATCAATTCGGTTAGCGAACATCGACTTTGAACACACCCAATAGTATTGGGTGAAGTAGAAAGTTCTGAGCGCTTTGAACTTTAGACATCATGTACACAATAAATGTTTAATTACGTACGATAACAGTATCAACAAAGTATTTTGCGTTTTAACATGCGTTTTAACATGCAACAAAACTAAAATAAAATGTCAAAGTCAATTTTCATTGTCAATTCAATATAGAAAACGACGTTTTGTTCTGTTGCAAAGTTGTGGCTGTTTGTAAATAAAATTAATTTAAAATTAATTCTTTAATCATATGAAACAAGGTTCTTTTAGCTATATTCAAATATTAAAAAAAATTAAATGTAAAAATCAAAATTTTATATTTTACGTCTATTGTTTTTCGAAATATGTGTAATGCATCTGAATTCCATCACGTGCAAGTAATACAGTAATTTATAACATTAGTTTACTAAAAGAATACAAAGAAGCAGAAAATGAAATTATTTTGAAATTAAGGACAGATCGTTGGAGTGATGTAAGAAGAGAAAATCTTACGCGATTTACAACTGGCGGATCACATAAATCCGAGCTCTTGCGCAATAAAATTTGTTAATCTTGACACGCTTCGAAATCATCAATGGGTTGATATATATATATATAATATATAATAATATAAATAAATCAAGGGAATTAAAAGGTAACATATTTTGTAAATAATTATATTTGTTAAGAGAGAAAGCTTTTAATAAATAATTTAATAAAATGGGTTTATTACAGAAATTGCAAATATTTCAATTACAAATATTTCAAGAGAAGACACATTCATGTACATTCTATAGTGGTAAATTACAATTTGAATAATGTATTTGGTTACAAAATTTGTCTGCAATGAATCTGTGGATGCGTGCTTCAGACAGGCTCTTTATGCTCAATCCAATTACCGATAATTGCAGAATACGATAATTGAAACTATTCACAAGTATTCATACAATTAGAAACGATTTCGTGTAATTATATTAAATGCAATTTAAATTACTCACGGATTACTATTTTCAATGCGTATCTCTGTCTCCTTGTCACTGAAATTGACGCACTTGTTCTTCCGAAAAGTTCATTTTATGTAATGAAACCCCTATTGTACCTTCGAGTTTTCTCTTTAAAAGAGATTCCTTATCGCATAACTGGCTTTTAAAAAAGAATTCCATTATCTAAGAAATTTACCGCTACAAAATAGTTAAAGCTAAGAAGATTAGTTTTTTTATATAGTTGTTACCTGCAAACAAAACAATTTTATATTTTGATATAAGTATAGAAGGTACACCGGAGCGCATAATGGGTCACCAATGAGTGTAGAGTGTAGTTAATAAATAAAATATTAAAATATATACGATCAGAGCAGATTCTTCTCTTTGATAGTAATTGAAGAAATATAATCATTCATAATATTAGTTTTATTTGAGATTTTTGTCTTTGTCTGTTTTTACTTCATGCTTGTCATGGTGACACTCAGTGATACTAGACTGAGTGTCACCATGTAAGAAATTGGAATGATTGTCCGCTATAGTTTGTATAACTATATCTTGGTATAAATCAGAATTTTTCAAACTATAGCGAAACATCCGCGGCACATTTAAATAATAATAATTATAAATTATCTTGGAAAAAATGTGGTTTTCACTTAATAAATATACAGAATTGAGCAAATTTAAATCAAATGCGCATAACGAACGGACGTATTTTCTCTCGTAACCTTCCATGGGGTGAGTGTGGATGGATGTGTATGCGAGGAGTTGATGCAAAGGCAGTGAACTCAAACTCACGATGACCACCTTGCCTTAAGGCCATACGGAACAAATCGCATGCACACACCTTCGTTTTCTTTTACTTCCTTTTTATTATTTATTTATTTTTTGTTTCATTATTTATATACCGCCGCGATGCTTTATTTTCCGTTCTATAAATAGAATCGAGCCAGAGAGAAGAGAGATCATTATTGCGAGAAATGCATCGCTTCTTGTTACCCTCCAGATGCTGCTCACCTTGCGCGAATTGTACTTTACTAGTGCAGACAACAGATTAATTAATAAATGTAACGTCGGTGATATCTGACCGTGGACGAAATATCCTTCAAACATGTTGCACGATTTTTCAAATGCAATTTTGCTTCGTATTTTAAAAACGGCAAAAATCAGCTGAATTGCTAATATTGATAAGATTATTTTGATTAGATACAATATTTCGTCAAATGGAAACAACATGATAGTTTTACTTAATTATGATTTTTAAACTATTTAGATGCATGTTGAAATAATTTTTGGGCAATACCTATATTTGTAAAACTTACCTAATGTTTATAGATTATAAAAATGTATATAACAAAATTAAATTGTTTTTGGATTATGTTTCTATTGTCATCAACTGATAAGCAAAATTCCCTAATAAATACATGATACTATGCAAGAACTGTATTTGACGCTATTAGAAAATGAATTTTAATAAATTTAGAAAAATTGAAGTTTAAGCCCAATTGAAGTTTTCAGCTTCTATATTTTAAATTTTGGTATACAACAAGGTATTAGAATGTAGATATTATTGTAGATACTCTTTTCCTTTTTAGTCTTTGTGACTATTTAATTACCATTTCTATAAATTTGATTGAGAAATTCTATTTTGACTGTTTTTTGTCAGTTAATCAATCAGCCAATGAATCAATCAACCATTGATGTTGCCTTTAGTCGATTTTAAAATTATTTTGTAAACCTGTGTATTTGTTTTACAAGTTATACAATTACAGATAAGGGGGATTTAGAAAAGACCTGAATAAGTGCCAATTTTTTTATATGGTATACTATCTTCACATGTATTTTTTCTATAATATTATTCTATTACATATTTTGTTAGATTATGCAACCGAATGTACTTCTAAATATACATATATGACTACATTTCAGCTTCGTAATTTGGATCTTATTGTATAATTTATCAACTTTGAATGTGAATGACGAAAGAGCTAATTGCAAAACTGATCCCAAATGTAACCAGATTTATATATTCTATTAAAACTGGTAGAAGAATTCTGGTAATCACGGCATGATTCCAGTACTCGAACACAATGTGATTCATGGTTCCTATGTAAGGTACTGCAGCAGCCTGAGTTTGAAGATCTAACTCTGTAGAGGTGAATTGGGACTAGGGTACGGACTAGGGTACGGAGCATCGTTTCCGTTGATTCCGTCGTGGCTCTGTACCAAACACAAATCGCAACGCCTCTAACAGTTAGGCCATGACTCATCCTGTAAGTGTCCATGCTCCAAGAGTTAGTCCTCATGGAGGTCCACATACTAGTGATTCCGCAAATAGAAGAGAGCGAGTCCTTGAGGATGGCAATGTTCATCCCAGTATTAATGTTATTTGTTATGAAAATTGTTCGATAAATGGCATATAAATCTACTGTGAAGAGCAGTTTGAATGGAGTTTTTCACACTCAGTGAAACGTCTTTAGTTTTCCTTTCAGAATGTTGATATCGGAGCCTGAGGAACATATTGCAAGGTCGTCTGCATATGTTAGTAATTCTCTTCCCTTGGGAATTACATTGATGATGGAACACATGTATACATTGAACATTATAGGGCTTAGGGGGTTGCCCTGAGGTGATCCTAAGTACAATCATCTTGGATAAATGGTAGTAAATTAATGGCTCTGGCAGATTTATTTATTGTAGTTACACTTACATAGAACTAAACTCAGTTACCTCACTGTAATTAATGGTTCATTTTAGGCCGATTCGATTTGCGACGGCTTTTGTAGGACAGGTAGCCCTGTACGACGGCTACCTGTACTTACTAACTATGATGTGACACACAACGTGTTGGACTAAAGTAACACAAACAATAGACGCAAATAACGCAATAGGAAAATAAATGGATATAAATAAACCAAATAAATGTACCAGGAGTAGCAACAAGTTTTATTATTACATTCAAAATAATTTAAAGAAATACTCGATATTGATATAAATTAATATATTCAAAACAACTAATGTACATATTGTATAAAGTTTTTTTATTTACGAACTTTATGGTCATAATTATTTGCTGCTCTAATAAAATGGAATGCTGTTGCGAGCCAAGGATGTACTAAAAATAATTCTGAAACAAAGTTTAATGAAAGTATATTCAAATTTAACTACAGTTTTAATATTGAAAAAAATCTTATTAATTAAATATCACAGATGAATAATTAGTAGAACGATAATACCGGGCCCTGTGAATTTGCGGACCTGTGTAAAAGTTTAGTAGTAATATAATTTAAAAATTTGTAATTTATATTCATCATATATTTGATGTCAATAACACACATCTCAGTGCGATTTTCTTTCAAATTTCAATATACCGATCTCAAATCGGTCGGGGAACTTTTTTAACCATTACCCCAAAATATTATTGCGTAAATCGAAAAAAAAATCATTTTTACCCCATTTTGGGTAATTTACCCCGGTTCCCCGACCGCTGATCTAGGGTGATTCCTATTTGTCTACTCAGTGACTTGTTCTGATATCTGGTATTTATTTATATAAAAGAGTTGTTTCTATTAGGTCGTTGCTCTCACATCGATATGCAAATCTTATTTTGGTTGAACTTTTAAATGCTAGAACGGAATTCAGATATTTCTGGATGCGGTGGCAAATTATATTTAGATCATGAGTATGCACATACGTCTGTTGTTAAAAATGATAATATTAAGGTGGAAACATTCAACTCTACATGGACCATTGAAACAATTCAAAGAATATGTCAAAGTTCAAATTTTGTAATTGCAAAGATATTCGTAAAAATACTTCAAATTAACAAAAATCTAATAAATATGTTATTAAATGTGAGTATTATTTATGTATAAGTCAAACGAAGTCAAAATATATCTTATGTTGTTGGATTACCCAGACCAGACGCAATTTGATTATTAACGATATACAAACTGGTTTATACTGACAATAATTGTTATATGAAAACAACAGTGTTTTAATATCTTATCACTTTTTGCGGTGCGGAAATACAATAATATACGAAGAACATTGTGTATACTGATAATTATATTTCAGTATTGTGTTTAGCTTTATTGAAAACGGTGGAATTTTAACGGAGTATTCTTAAATTTGCTATTTGAAACTGTAATGTCTAAACGAAAAATCTATCATGATACGTACACATAATAATTAGTCTCAGATTATATTTATTTTCTTTTTAATTATTTTCGGTATTTAAAAGTCTCCGCTCAATATTTATATAACTTATTTTTTTTCTCTAGATGGACGTGAACATTAGATAATTCTAATTTATGCCAACTGTGTTAATAAGTGAAAAAAATATTAACATAAATCCTGGATAGAGAAATATTTATCAACTTGATTAAGGTAATATAAATAATGTTTAATTACTGTTGTTAATTACATTTTTTTTTAATAAATACTAATTATATTGTAAAAAGAATGTTGATGATATAATATACAAGGCACACCCGACTGCCGTTCTATCTTCGTCCTCTTTCGCGCATGATATTTATAGTGTATATTAAAAATGTTAAAAGTAAATTAATTCTCATTTACGGTCTTGGTGACCGCTCGGGTGTATCTTGTATATTTGTATCATGGGTTTCGCCAATATCCCGGGTTGTTCGAAACCGCACTAATTGAGAACTTTCAAACCGCATGAAAATAAACTGAGCATATTTGTATCATGGGTTTTTCCAATATCCCGGATTTTTTGAAACCGCACTAATAGAGAACGTTCAAACCGCATAAAAATAAACAGAGCAGCAAGAAATTTGACTGTAATAACAGAGGGTCCAAATTCATTTTTTTTTTTTTCATATACAGTGGAACCTCGCTTAACATTCCAAAATTTTCGGATTTTTACTCGTATAGTGAAATTACTCGTGAAACATTCAGAAGTGAAACATATTAAAAAATACACATAATATTTGTCCCACAAGTTTTCAAAAATTTGTTGGGAAACCAGAAAAAAAGGGGAACTTCGTCGCTACTTTTTGCACCACGATAATGCACCCACTCACACTGCTGAAAAAAACAACAACTTTCTTGCGCTCCCTGGCATCAATGAAATTTGCTCCGCAGCTTACTCTACGGACCTAGCGCCGTGTGATTTCTGGCTGTTACTATAAATTAGAAAAAAAATGAGGGGAAGAGTCTTCAGTTCAAATGAGGCAGTTCAAATGTAGCAGGCGGGCAATACGGGACTTCTCTTTTCATCGTAACTCGTTATGCAAAACGTCGCTCGTTAACTTTGCTGAAATTCTGAAAAGTACCGCTTTGGTGACAACTGTCATTTTGCAGCCCATTAAAAATTTAATGCGATCCAATTTTGGGTCAAGATCCATGGTTGAGAAACGCTGTTCTAGACATTTCTTATGCGTTTTGTAGATAGCCAATGGTTAATTTTTAGTATACCTGTTTGAGACGTGAGTGGTTTTAGTGTGTAAGAATAACGCTGTAACGATGTCCGTTCCAGCAGTGGTGCAACCTGAAGGTTTCCTCTAGAAAAAAAAGACAATTCTTATGCAAATTATATGATACTGAATTGTAGTCATTGCCGCTGACGCATACATTTAAAATTACCCAATACACCATTTCCGTCTGATTGGTATTTCGAGAATCTTAATCTATTGCGCTACATCATAACATAGTCATCTTCCTCTATTTCAAAATTATTAAATATGAGATAATTTCTCTTGAAATCCAACAAAATTATTTATTTTTAAAAAACTGTAATATTTATTGTCTGATATCACAGTCCACTTGATATATGTATTTATATTTTGAAATATATTTAAAATAGCAGTATTAGCAATTAGGGATTAGGAATCGCACCTTCTTAACAATCGATCCCTTCAAGAGTTTCTTGACTTCTTATGTTTACATCGCTCTATGTTACATATTTACAATAGGACAAGCAAAAAAAGAAGACTAAAATAATCATTTGAGCATCAATAATCGTGATATATTTATCTTGTAGACGCATCCAAGTAGAAAATATTATTCTTACTTCTTATTTTCTAGCAACCCCAAAACGATCCAAAACAATTATTTCAATCAGTCCTTCGTTAATACAAATGGAAAGATTATGTGCATACAAAAGATATACAGTGGATCTTCGCTTAACGAGTTTAATCCGTTCGAAAATTTCTGTATTTTTACTCGTATTGTGAAATAATCGTATAGTGAAACATATTGAAAAATACACATAATATTTGTACACAAGTTTTAAAATTGATATAGCTGGCGCGCAATCCGGTACTTCTCTTCTTATCGTTACTCGTTATGCGAAACGTCGCTCGTTAAGCGAGTCATTTTTCTTACAATTAATTTTACTCGATAAGCGAAATGATCGTTATGCGAGAGAATTGAATTTCCACCAAAGCCTTTACTTGTTTAAGTGTAGTTGGAACTGATAACCTTCTTTTTTTTATAGATTATTTATATTATTTTCTCCATTTATGTGTGTATGTACTTATTATTCTATTTATTTTTTAAATAATCATTAAAAATAAATAAATAGAAATAGTAAACCACGATACATGTATATACATCAACGGGTTGCTATGTGTCCCTGTCTTTTCGAACGTGTTCTCTTTCATTGCGACCGACGACGTTAGGGATTAATTTCTATAGATATCTGTGATATTAATAATGTATCTTTCTATCACAATCCCATTATACCTCTAGTAATATATTTAGTCCATGTCCTATCAGCCATTGGACATTAATATTTTTGTTAAAATAATGAACAGAAATTCTAAACTGCTTTATGTATGTAAAGTTGCATAAAATCTATAGGGTGTATACCGTTGTAGCTGGTTGTAGCCGTTGTAGCATAAGTATACAATTTTCTAGGAACTGTATACCAAATGACTAATGTCTCAAAGTTCTTATTGCGTGTTAAAAAATAAATAGTTCTTTTTTCATTTTAGATTACTCCTATTTATAGAATATTATGGAGGAAAGAAATGTAAGTCTACAATTGAAACTTACGTTGTGGAAATGTTGGAAAAGTAGATGGCACAATTATGTGTACACTTTATTAACAATATGTCTTCCAATATTGTTGTATTCTTTTGTTGCCTGGTATTACACAAAAGGTGGAGTAATTTATGTCAGACAAGAAAATCCTACATATGGTATACAAGTATCAGAAGAACAAATTGAAGATAGTTTGTATGGTTACAAGTATTCCTATGCCCCATCAAATGAATACACAAATAAAATCATCCGGATGCTCCAGTTGGAGTATCAATATCCAAATAATGGTAATAATTTTTTATAATAGTCAGCTCAAACTTGACAAAAAATGATTCCAGTTATTAATAATTTTGAAACGGAAGAAGAAATGATAACATTTCATAAACAGCATACGGATGTTGATAATATTTTAATCTACTTTCAAAACACAACAAATTCTGTTCCCAAAACAATGAAATACAAAATAAGGCAAGAAACAATTTCAAAGTCCTTGCAGAATTTGTATTATGATTTGCCAGGACCTGGAGCAAGTAAGCTTATATAGATTATTAAATGTTTATATTTTGATTAATTTTATCTCTTCTCTTAGGTATGGAAGTTTATAGAAGTTTTGTTACACTTCAAATGCATCTAAATAAATATTATCTGGAACTACTAAATATATCTGATAATAATATTGAGTTTACAATGGAAGAATTTCCATTTCCACCTTATGTCGATGATAAATCTAACAATTTAATATTTACATTGCTGTTTCCAATGTTGACATGCTTAACTTTTTCATTTGTTGGTCCATATATTGTTATACAAATGATAGATGAAAGACAAAGTGGCATTAAGGTAACTTTAAAAAAAAAAAAAAATCTAATAAATATCTTTTTATTTTATCAGGAATATATGAAGATGATGGGATTATCTCCAATAGTAATGTGGATCTCTTGGTTTTTGGATAATATCTTAATTATTATGATACCAATAATATCTATAGTCTGTATTCTAACAATTCCAAACAATTCAATATTGTCATCTTGTAATCCTATCATTTACTTCTTGTTTCTGATATTGTATAATTCATCAAACATATCTGTTTGCTATATAATTGCAGCATTGTGTAAAAATGGTATGAAATGAAAATATTTATGTTTAAAAATATATATAACTAATTTTTTTAACATATTTTAGGATCATTGGCTTTAATTTTACAAATATTATTCAATGTATTTACATTAATTCTGTGTTTATTTTGCTATATGAATGTATTTATGAGCAACTTCACAAGATATCTAATTTGCTTTATACCAAATGGTTCATTGATCTTTGGATATTATACAATTAAAGATCACTTAGTAATGGGTTAGTAAATATTAAAATAATTCATTTGTGTTTATTAACAGATGACTTTTTAGATAATGAAGTGACATTTTCTAACTTATTTTCAACTTACAATGGCCACACCGAAAGTCTGGGGGGAATCATGTTAATACTTTTGTTTACAACAATATTGTTAATATCATTAGCGTGTTACATTGATGCTATAAGTCCCGGTAAATACGGGATTCCTAAACGCTGGTATTATCCGTTTTATGTAAGTTATATTTGCAAAACTAAATTGAATAGACTAACATTTTATTTGCAGTCATCAGTCAATGCACTACGTCGATATATACTGAACGGTAATGAAGTAGGTATCAAAACGTACAATATTCAGGAGGAGAGTGGTCTTTGCTCAGATATGTGTACGGTAAAAATGACAGAACTAACAGAAAAGTGTAATTTGAAAATTTGCATTGAGATAAAAGATCTCACAAAAACGTATGGAAACAGAAAAGCCGTAGACTCACTTAATATGAACATATATAAGGGTGAAATTATGGCTTTGCTTGGACCGAACGGTGCCGGAAAAACAACAACTATGTCAATTATAACCGGTAATTTATTTATTATATCTATTATTCGTCTTTATTTATAATGTATACTTATATTTAAAGGATTGATAAATCAAACTAGAGGATCAGTAACTATAGAAGGACTCGATTTACATAGGGACTTGGACAAAATCCGTACATTACTTGGTATTTGTCCACAGGATGATCTATTCTTTCGGTCACTCACCGTGCGAGAACATTTATTGTTTATAGCGAAAGTAAATATTGCCGTTCAAATTGAATTATTTCAATAATTTATTGTTTTCTTCCAGATGAATCAACTGAAAAATGCTGATGCGAAAGTTGATGAAATGTTGGAGAAGTTGTCGCTGATGAAACACTCCAATCATTTCCCAAATAATATCTCCGGTGGTATGAAGAGAAGGTTGTGCTTTGGCATGGCGCTGGTAGCTGATCCAAAGGTAGTAACAATTGGTAATAAAAAGCAAATTATCATCGTATATATTCGAATTTAAGATTGTAATTTTGGACGAACCCACCTCTGGTTTGGACCCCATATCGCGAAGAAATATGTGGAATGTTTTAAGTGAATGGCGTAGATCACATTCTGAGCCCAGAACCGTTCTTCTGAGCACACATCAGATAGAGGAGGCTGAAGAACTTGCTAATCGTATTACCATATTGAACCAAGGTACACTGGCCGTTCAGGGGACCATGAATTACCTTAGGCATACTCACTGTTAGTATGAAATTAGTAAACATGTTTCTTTGTATATGATTTTTGTTTGTTTTTTAGTATCTGGATGTCATTTAGATATTGTGTATAAAGAGAATGATGATGAGCTTACCAAGAACAAAGTGAATGAAATAATCGCTAATAGTGATCCCAGGATCGATAAGAATAAATTAAATGGAGAACATTTTGAACTAACTCTAACAGATAAACCAGAAATATTGGAATTGCTGAAGCAATTAGAGAAATTGGATGGAATCAAGGATATCACTGTAAATAATAAAAGTTTGGAAGAATTATTTTTCAAGTAAGTACACACGATTAAAAACAATCCACGATATATATATACTTTCGTACTGTTGATAGCTTAATACAAAATACGGAAGAAACGACTACGAAATTAGAATTTCCACCAGTAAACGATAACAATGGTAAGTACTTACTCCTTTTCTATACCGAGAATTATACGTAGATAATGAATTTTTCTCGTGTATGAGTTTTAAACTCTACGTGATACTACTATAATGGTAGATTTATACAAGACGAATAATATGCAATGAAACCTCGCATATCGAGCATTTTGCTTAACAAGAAAAATGAGTTTCAACAACAATGACTCGCTTAACGAGCAACGTTTCGCTAAAAGACTGACGATGAGAACGTGTTAAGCGAGGTTCCACTGTATACATAAAATAGAGTTGCCATGTTTAAAAACGGTAAATTAGGGCAAAAAATTGAATCTAGGACAGGGGTAGTCAACCTTTTTATGTCTACCGCCTACATTTGTTTCTTTGTTGGTAGTAACAATATAAAGTCTATTGAAATTATGTTTAATTAATGTGATTCTGGACGTTGATGCTGCGTGACTGAATATTTGATATCAAACACAAGAAACCCCTACCGGCCACCATGGAATCGCCTACTAGTGGGCGATAGGGATCAGGTTGACTACCACTGATCTAGGGCTATGACAGTTTAAAAAAAAATGGAAAAAAAATATTTTTATTATAGTTGGCTAAATATAAAGAAACGTAGATTCGATGTTCCCGAACGCACGAAAAAGAGGACATTTATTATATATTACAATCATAATATATATTTTTATATTAATGATTCTCCTCTGCTGCAGTCTCAGAGTTTGGCTGCGATTGAACTGTCTAGTTTGTTCGTTTATGTTGAAAAATCCAGACGCAAGTCGTAACGTATTTTTTTTTTTTAAAGTTACTAAACTATTGGAAAACTAATTATGATTTTTTTTTGTAATGAGATATCGAGGAACCGTTAAGAAAATATACTGGTTGTGAGTATTTCATGTTATTTAATGTCACGTTCAAAATAACATTTACTTCTACAACGTAGCGCACCTTGTTTTAATAATAATATGGATATGAAGCACATACTACTGTATTCTTATGTGCTTAATTTCGTCAATTTGCTATGTTTGTCACCTATCTGCAGATAGAACTAAAAAAAGGTTGCTAAAGTGGATTATACAATGTTAAGGTAACATTGTTCAATCCACAATATTGAATTGTAATAACATTTCACGATACATTATTTTTATTATTTCAATGCGAATAGTCGAATTTAACAATAAAGATCAATGTATATGTAAAATATCTTTTTTTTCATATGCATGAGTTACAATTAAAGAAAAATAATTTGTATATAAATTAATCTAGGTAATTATGTTTCAGGTAAATTGTACCAGTGGAAATCCATATTTAAACTGCGACTTGTCACATTAAGAAACACCATCCAAAGCTACATTATATTTGTATGTTGAATTATTTCATGTGCGATATTTATAGTAATTTGTTTATTTTTTAGGCTTTACCGGCAATCACCTTATTAATTATTGGCTTATTGCTGGGCAGACCTTCGATTCTTAAATACGCATCTAAGCACCAATTCATTGAAATGAGTTTAGAAGAGTACGGACCGACAACAGTATTTTTTAGCGGTCAAAGGAATAACTCAATAGTAAATAGAATTATGAATGAATACAAGCATCTTGTTGCAGAACAAAAGTCGATAGCTATAGAGGTTCCATCAGCAAAAGATGGTAGATTGTAACGATTTCAAAATAATTTCAATTTACCTTCTTTATTTTCATGTTTTAGCGTTACTGGAATTTGGGACGCGTAACTTTATGGAATATTCAAAAAAAGCCATCGCGGCTGCAGATTTTATTACAGACAGCGAAGGTCGGATTAAAGTAAATGTACTTTACTCAGAATTGGCAGTCCATGCACCACCGATTGCATTAAATTTAGCCTGGAATTCTGTTTTGAAAGCGTATACGAATAATAACTATAGCATCGATGTTACATCGCAACCAATGCGCCTATCATATTTTGAAACTAATATTGTGATGTCGTATATTGTCGTTACATCCTTGTTCTTAGGTACGTATTAATCTGAATGTATTTCATACAATTCTAGAAATTCTGATTTGTTTTAAGGATTTTCAATTTTCATAACGTATTTCGTTGGATTTCCTTTGGTGGATAGAGAAAGTGGAATTAAGCATTTAGAACTGATGACCGGCGTTCATATATATTTTTATTGGATTATTAACTACGTATTTGATTTTATTTTATACCTATTAACATTATTTATATTCGCTGTAGTTTATATATTATGCTACAATCCGGTATACACGTTCCACGAACTGGGTAAGATTCTGCCATTTATTTAAAGCATACTATGAATTATAGAAATATTATATTTTAGGTGGATTTGCTTACTATAGCATTATATTTGGCATTGTTGGTATTATGTTTTCGTATCTCCTCAGCAATATTTCCTCTAAATCTATAGCGTATAGCGTATCCATTAGCAACAACATTATCATAGCAATGTTATGCATTGTTTTTGTTTATGTTTTGAAATTCTTTTATCCATCGTTGGGACAGACTCTGGACATAGCATCATTAGCAATACCTATGTATTGGTACATAAACAAGGTGTGGAATTATACAAACAAGGTGGTATGGAATTGGGAATGGAACAATATGTCTGATGTATCCAAAATCAAATATTGCAGAGTGCAGACAAATCCATGTTGCTGTAAGTATTTACTTGAAAAACAATATTTCTTATTACTAAATATTATTTCTAGTGTCTAGCGTAGCGGCTCATGATTTAAGTGAGGAATGCCAGAATTTCATGAATATAATTATTATAAACAGTATCGACTTCGTTTATATCGTTGCCACCATCTTAATCTACTTAGGTTTAATTGCATTTTTCGATAAAAGCTACATAAAACGAATAAAAAAGGAAACTCTCAATGAATCTACAGGTAATTTAGCGTCTGCAATAAAATGCAGAAATATTAACAAGAGTTATGGAAAATCAACGGTTTTGAATAATCTGCAATTTACACTTCCAAATAATACGTATTGCGGTTTATTGGCTCCCAATGGGTCTGGAAAAACCACCACGTTTGAAATGCTTGCCAGAAAGCAGATAGATATGAACAACGGTAGCATTTCCATCAATGGCATTGAATATCAAGACATTTACAATTACATGAAAAACATTGGGTATTGTCCGCAGTATAATGCACTGAACTTGGATTTAACTGCTAAACAAATGTTGGATATTTTTGCCGAATTGCGTGAATGCAAGGATCGCGAAAAGGTAGTGGATAATTGCATCAAGCTTGTAGGTAAATGGTACCGATTTTTATACATTCTGCGATATTTTTTATTTCCAACGATAACTAACTTTATTTTGGATAATTTAATTAGATTTATCCGAATTCAAAAGTATCAAATGCGGAGAGTACAGTGGAGGGAACAAGAGGAAGTTGTGCATAGCTTTAGCTATCATCGGTTCCCCAAGCCTTATGCTATTAGATGAACCGACGACTGGCATAGATCCCGTTTCAAGAAGAACAATTTGGAATGCTCTTAAGGAAAAAAAATATAATTCACATAGTTCTATGCTTCTAAGCAGTCATAGTATGGCAGAATGTGAATTTCTTTGTGACAGGTAAATATTTTTTTTTATCAAAGATTGTCTCCTTTTCTTGTGTTGTAATCTTTTTTAAATTTTACTAATTTTGTATTGATCGATCGTAGTGTACTATTATTAGGCGTTGTTGAATATTTGAACTATCGATATTGGAGGTCTTTATTTGATGAAGTATTATTTTAATTGCCTATATGGTTTAGATGTGATGTTTTTTTTTTAATTTTTACTAGTCTGGCGTTCATGAAAGATGGGAGCATACAAAAACCAGAGAAAATAGCATCGCTGATATCAAAATACGGAGCCGATTACGTCGTTAATATGAAGTTAAATGATAATTGCAACGATGTCGATGAGGTGGATGGTAATTCCTCTAGCAGAAACTACAGTAAAATTGATGTTATAGAACGATTCAAAGAATTATTCAAAGATTCCATTCGCAAATTGAAAGATGATAGCGCCGTAAGCAGCAAACTTACTTATCTTCATATTTATTCCATTACATTTGCATTTTACTTTCAGTCGAACCTATCGTATTATATCATAAAAGATAAAATAAAACTGACCAAGGTTTTCGAACATATGGAGAAGATGAAGGCCTATATATCGAATTACGAAATAAGAACGGCAAATCTCGAGGAATCGTTTGTAATGTTTTCTAATGATAGTAATGATAAGACAAACTAACCAAAGTATTAATGTGAAGGCTTAATATTTTCTCGCAGGTGGAGATGGTCATATACCAGGTTTATATCTGGTCAAAGATCTTGAAATATGTAAGACAAAACAAATGAGAATAGTACGCTTTATGCTTACAAAATTGTATCATTATCCTATACATATTTTATTGTATATTTTATATTATTTATATGAATAAAATTATATTCAAAATATCTTTTTACTTTTATTTGTATTTTGATATTCATTCATATTTTTTTTCATTAAAGTTCAACATATTGACTGCGGCCAATAGCCGCATGTATATAATATGTATGTAATTGAAATATACATACTTAGTATATAATAAGTTAATACAATTTAGAAGTTCAGTATCCTTTTCAATTTTATCGTCGTAACAAACTTCTCTTTCATATAATTTTATATATTTGATCGAATTATCTAGGGCGGAAAGAATGCGGTCTATTGCTGTCTATTGTGTGTAGGAAAATGTATACAATAAACTGTATATGTTTGCTTAATTTTTCGGATCTAATTAAAAAATAAAAAACATATTACCTAAAAAAACTATTATTATTTCTTAAATATAAAAATTTCCAAATTATTGATTTTCATTGAAATTAATAAGTAAAACGTATCAACTCTGCCTATATTAAGTATTTCGGATTCATGATATTTCAAATTATCGGATTCATGATATTTGGAAATCATATTCAAAATATTTATATGAGTTTACATATCCATTAAGACTGTCTACAAAAAAAAACTCATGACAAAAAAATATAAAAGGACTCGTAACATATGACTCAGCGTTAAATTGTGAATATTTATGCAATAATTTATTGTTTTAATGCGAGAGTTAGAAGGGAAATTAAATGTGAAAAATGCAATTTTTTCAAATTATAATTTTTGCATCCAAAGGAAAAAGCGAAATGGGTTAAGGAAATGCCGAAAATCGCGATAAAAATAACATTTGCGCATTGATTGAATCACTTCAAGTAACAATAAAAATACGATGCATAGGTGGGAGAGCGTACGTTGAGCGACGAACTCAATCGAAGTCGCAGGAGACTCCAGAAGCAATATTTGCAAATGAATAAAAAAATTTTTTACTCGGAATAGAGCGAGCTCATTTTTATAAATATATGTACATATTGTTGATACAAGCGCAATCTATATATTTTGTTAATGTTCATATTAAGGTCAAATTTGTTTTGGTTTTTCTTTTAAATTTGTAGATAATGAATGTGTGTTTACGATGAATTGTGTACGAAATTCGTAATGCATGATGCTTGTGTATGATTGGTTTCTTATGGGTGGGATGTAGTGGGCAGTCTTAATATTACCTTATGTGCTCTGCTCCCAGTTTACAAGTGGTGGGTTGTCTATAAATCGCGCTGGCGGAGGCACCATTGGTTTAGTGCGGCTTTGGTTCTCGTGGAGCGTGAACTTCATTGTTAGATTCGAAAGTTATTTAAGTTGTAAGTGGGTCTGCATCCGACAAGATGACAGTGGGTAAAACGAAAGTGGCAAAGACAAATAAGAGTAGTGCAACGACATCTGCAACAACAACGGCCCAACAATCCAGCACGATTCAACAACAATCCAGCAGTACGACCCAACAACAATCTAGTAGTACGACGCAACAACAATCCAGTACGACCGAAATTAGATCGACCGGCAACATCTCGAAAACATCTTCAGCTTCAAGTTTACAGATTGCCGATGTTTCGCATCTACCAGTAAACGCAAGTATTGTCCAATATACAGTAACAGAAGCCATCCCCGGTACCGGCGAAAAAATAACAACATACAATGAATCTGGAGCAACAAGTACCGAAATTAGGCACGCCATAGCTCAAGACAAACAATCAACAGTATCGAATATTACACAAATCAGTACGATGTCTGGTGGAGTGATCGGCTGCGATGAGAGCAAATATACCGTAATCGAGCCCAAGGAAGAGTCGAGGGTCATCAACAAGAACGATGCCGCTTGGAACGGGAAATTTGTCTGGGAAAAACCTACGACGCACATCGAGAAAACTTCTTCATCGCAGCAGCAATCTTCCTCTATATCCAAGAGCTCTTCCAGCAGTTACGTCATTGAAATCGTGGATGGTAAAGAAAGGATCGTTGATCAGAAGAAACACGAATCTGGACATTCTGAATCCCATTCAAACGCTGAATTTCTTTCAATGAAATCGGGCACTGATATCCAGCCTGAAATTCACTTCAGCCAAAAGGGCAACGATTCTTCCACGATATACGACTCTGACAAGCAGCCGAAACCCGTCACGAAATCCTCAGACTTTTCCAGAGAAATTCATAAAGTTGGAGATGCAGAATCCTCGACTTCATCCATCGAACATTCATCGACACTCGGTATCGAACAAGGTAATAAAAACTCTATTACAAAACAACAGCAGCTTCAATCTGATGCAAAGAATATACATTCTACCGATAAATCGAGCACTCAGCATTTTAAGCAATCAGATTTATTAAACACTCAAATAAAAACAACTTCTGATGAAAGAAGCGCAAAAGTAATCGATCGCAGTACACTTTCGAAATCAGAAAACATAAAGTCTACCAAATCTGATAATACAACAAAGTCATCAAATATCTCCAATGAAGATGATACCACGACAACGATCACAACAACTACCACCTACTATGATTCCAAAGGTAATGTGATCAATGTCGACACTAATGTTGAAACTATTGCGGCCGACTTAAGCGGTGGAATTAGTGACACTGTGTACCAAACTGAAACTATTTACAAAGATTCTTCCTCAGTTTATGATGCGAAAACGAGCGATTTAAAAACATACAGCACTGATTCGAAATATTACCAATCAGATTCAAAAAAATACGTAACTGATTCAAAAATCACAAATTTAGATTCTAGTGATATTTATGAAAGCAAAAATATTGTTGATTCGAAGACTAATAAAACAGATAGTACATCTGTATATGAGAAATCAGATGTCTCAAATTATAACATCAGTTCCGATATTAAAAGCGTACATCAGATAGACTCAGAGAACATTCATACTAAAGATATTAAAAATATTCAGCAAAGAGATTCAAAAAACTTAAATATAACTGATGTGTTTGGACATTCCGGCGTTGACACACAAAGACTGACTGATTCCAAAACATTACATGATACGAAATATACAGATTCTAGCGACAGAAGAGATTTTGCTGATACAACAAAACTTCAATCAAATGCCAACGAGAGAGAAGTTATTTTCGATTCTGCCAAACACCATAACGCTCAATCAACAAAAACCGGGGATTTTTATGGACATTCAGTTGATTCTGCAAACACAATGGTAAAAAATGTTTATGATACTACAGCTATTCAAAGCACAATAGGAACTAAACGAACTGTTGATCAAACAGATAAAATTGAAACCGATGTGGTTTATTCAAACGATCGTAACTATGGAAAAACAGGATGGAATGGTAAATTTACTTATGAACAGACAATGGACACTAAGAAATCTGTCACTGAAGATGATAATCAGGCTAGATATAGAACAAAATCACCTATTGGTAGATCCAGAAGACCTTTATCACCATCCAGCATGCCAGCAGCTGGTGTATCATCTGTTGAAAGAAGGAAGCCAACTGATGAAGATAATAAGAAATCAGATACTACAGCAAAGTCACCAACTGATAGATCCAGAAGACCATTATCTCCATCCAGCATGCCACCAGCTGGTATGTCAACTGTTGATAAAAAAAAACCAAATGATGATAACAACAAGAAACCAGATGGTAGAAAAAAGTCACCAACTGGTAGATCCAGAAGACCTTTATCTCCATCCAGCATGCCACCAGCTGGTATGTCAACTGTTGATAAAAGAAAGCCAACTGATGAAGACAACAAGAAACCTGATGGTAGATCAAAGTCACCAATTGGTAGATCCAGAAGACCATTATCTCCATCCAGTATGCCACCAGCTGGTATGTCCACTGTTGAATATGGGACCACTATTATCGATAATTATACAGATACTACAGATGTTCGATCTTATAACACAAGCATAACAAATATAAATGAGTCGTTTGACATTAGTAACAAGACATTCATTACTGACACAAAAACAACTGATAGATCCAGAAGACCTTTATCTCCATCCAGCTTGCCACCAGCGGGTATGTCAACTGTGACTAAGAGAATGCCAACTGACGAAGAAAACAAGAAACCCGATGGTAGAATGAAGTCACCAACCGGTAGATCCAGAAGACCTTTATCTCCATCCAGCATGCCACCAGCTGGTATGTCGACTGTTGATAAAAGAAAACCAACTGATACTGACAAGAAGAAACCTGATGATAGAACAAAGTCACCAACCGGAAGAGCCAGAAGACCTTTGTCTCCATCCAGCATGCCACCAGCTGGTATGTCAACTATTGATAAAAGAAAGCCAACTGATGAAAACAACAAGAAACCTGATGGTAGAACAAAGTCACCAACTGGTAGATCCAGAAGACCTTTGTCTCCATCCAGTATGCCACCAGCTGGTATGTCCACTGTTGAATATGGGACCACTGTTATCGATAATTATACAGATACTACAGATATTCGATCTTATAACACAAGCATAACAAATATAAATGAGACGTTTGACATTAGTAACAAGACATTCATCACTGACACAAAAACAACTGATAGATCCAGAAGACCTTTATCTCCATCCAGCTTGCCACCAGCTGGTATGTCAACTGTGACCAAGAGAATGCCAACTGACGAAGAAAACAAGAAACCCGATGGTAGAACGAAGTCACCAACCGGTAGATCCAGAAGACCTTTATCTCCATCCAGCATGCCACCAGCTGGTATGTCGACTGTTGATAAAAGAAAACCAACTGATACTGACAAGAAGAAACCTGATGATAGAACAAAGTCACCAACGGGAAGATCCAGAAGACCTTTGTCTCCATCCAACATGCCACCAGCAGGTATGTCTATTGTTGATAAAAGAAAGCCAACTGGTGCAGACAATAAAAAACCTGATGTTAGAACAAAGTCACCAACAGGTAGATCTAGAAGACCTTTATCTCCATCTGGTATTGCACCAGCTGGTACGTCCACTGTTGAATATGGGACCACTATTATCGACAATTATACAGATACTACAGATGTTCGATCTTATAACACAAGCACAATAAATATAAATGAGACGTTTGACATCAGTAACAAGACATTCATCACTGACACAAAAACAACTGATAGATCCAGAAGACCTTTATCTCCGTCCAGTATGCCACCAGCTGGTATGTCAACTGTTGATAGAAGAAAACCAACTGATGAAGACAACAATAAACCTGATGGTAGACCTAAGTCACCAACTGGTAAATCCAGAAGACCTTTATCTCCATCCAGCATGCCACCAGCTGGTATGTCAAATCTGACTAAGAGAATGCCAACTGACGAAGAAAATAAGAAGCCCGATGGTAGAACAAAGTCACCAACTGGTAGATCCAGAAGACCATTATCTCCATCCAGTATGCCACCAGCTGGTATGTCAACTGCTGATAAAAGAAAGCCAACTGATGAAGACAACAAGAAACCTGATGGTAGAACAAAGTCACCAACTGGTAGATCTAGAAGACCTTTATCTCCGACCAGTATGCAACCAGCTGGCATGTCAACTGTTGAATATGGGACTACTATTATCAATAATTATACCGATACTAAAGATGTTCGGTCATATAACACAAGCACAACAAATATAAATGAGACCTTTGACATCAGTGACAGTAAATTCATCACTGACACAAAAACAACTGGTAGAAGACCTTTATCTCCATCTAGCATGCCACCAGCTGGTATGTCAACTGTTGATAAAAGAAAACCAACTGATGAAGACAACAAGAAACCTGATGGTAGAACTAAGTCACCAACTGGTAGATCCATAAGACCTTTATCTCCGTCCAGTATGCCACCAGCTGGTATGTCGACTGTTGATAAAAGAAAGCCAACTGATGAAGACAATAAAAAACCCGATGGTAGGACAAAGTCACCAACTGGTAGATCCAGAAGACCATTATCTCCATCCAGTATGCCACCAGCTGGTATGTCAAGTGTTGATAAAAGAAAGCCAACTGATGAAGACAACAAGAAACCAGATGGCAGAACAAAGTCACCAACTGGTAGATCAAGGAGACCTTTATCACCATCGAGTATGCCACCAGCTGGTATGTCAACTGCTGACAAAAGAAAGCCAACTGATGAAGATAACAAGAAACCAGATGGTAGAACAAAATCACCAATTGGCAGATCCAAAAGACCTTTATCTCCATCAAGTATGCCACCAGCTGGTATGTCAACTGTTGATAAAAGGAAGTCAACAGATGAAGACAACAAAAAACCAGATGGTAGAACAAAATCACCAACTGGCAGATCCAGAAGACCTTTATCCCCATCAAGTATGCCACCAGCTGGTATGTCAACTGTTGACAAAAGAAAACCAACTGATGAAGACAAAAAGAAACCAGATGGTAGAACAAAGTCACCAACTGGTAGATCAAGGAGACCTTTATCACCATCGAGTATGCCACCAGCTGGTATGTCAACTGCTGACAACAGAAAGCCAACTGATGAGGATAACAAGAAACCAGATGGTAGAACAAAATCACCAATTGGCAGATCCAAAAGACCTTTATCTCCATCAAGTATGCCACCAGCTGGTATGTCCACTGTTGATATAAGGAAGCCAACTGATGAAGACTACAAAAAACCAGATGGTAGAACAAAATCGCCAACTGGTAGATCCAGAAGACCTGTATCCCCATCAAGTATGCCACCAGCGGGTATATCAACTGTTGACAAAAGAAAACCAACTGATGAAGACAACAAGAAACCAGATGGTAGAACAAAGTCACCAACTGGTAGATCAAGGAGACCTTTATCACCATCGAGTATGCCACCAGCTGGTATGTCAACTGTTGATAAAAGGAAGCCAACTGATGAAGACAACAAAAAACCAGATGGTAGAACAAAATCACCAACTGGCAGATCGAAAAGACCTTTATCTCCATCAAGTATGCCACCAGCTGGTATGTCCACTGTTGATAAAAGGAAGCCAACCGATGAAGACTACAAAAAACCAGATGGTAGAACAAAATCGCCAACTGGTAGATCCAGAAGACCTGTATCTCCATCTAGTATGCCACCAGCTGGTATGTCAACTGTTGATAAAAGAAAGCCAACTGGTGAAGACATCAAGAAACCTGATGGTAGAACAAAGTCACCAACTGGTAGATCCAGAAGACCTTTATCTCCGTCTAGCATGCCACCAGCTGGTGTATCCTCTGTTGATAAAAGAAAGCCTACAGATGATGGTAGAGAGAAACCAGTTCAAAAACAATTATTGCCCGTTGGCACTTCTTCCCCGATCAAGAAGGGACTAAGAGATGATGATAAACCAAAAGGACCAAAGGATGTTTCAAAGCCAGATTCACCAAACGATGTTGATAAAAAAGGTCCCAAAGATTTATATCCTAGACGTTTAGTTGATGAATATGGGACCACCATTATCGATAATTATACAGATACTAAAGATTTTCGATCATTTAACACAAGCACAACAAACATAAATGAGACGTTTGACATCAGTAACACGACATTCATTACTGATACAAAAACAACGTTAAACGAAACATTTGTTGTTGATAATAAAACCTTCGATGTTACCGATAAGTACGATATAATTGACAAGAAATATATTAACGAAAATGAAGACGTTGTTAATAAGACTACCGAGAAGATAGTGGACATAAGAACAACGGACGACAAAACGATCAACACTTCGGACACGACCAAAATCGATAGAACTACAAAGATTTTTGATGACGTAACCGTTATCGATAAAACTGTAGATGTCCGTGATATTCATGTAGTGGAGAACATCGTCGACATAAAAGATATTGTAAGTATAAAACCAACAAGTTATTGATTTCCATGAAAAGAAAAAAAATATAATACTGTTTTCTTCAATTCAGACCGAAGTGGAGAATATAACGCGAATCGACAAAGTAGTCGATAACAAAGTGATTAATATAGTCAAGACGATCAAAGAAGACGCACCGAAGGGCCCCAAGTACGTTCCACCCAAGAAGGAGGTCTGCATTTGCGAGTTATGCACTTGCGGGTACGTAAATTGATCCATATTTGAATCATATCTAAATTTAGGTATTCTGACTGTTTCGAACTTGATTAATTATCATTTAAAAAGACGATTACTAATTGGCTGTGGTTATCTGAAATGCCCATTTATAAATAGCTTATGACAACATTTGAAGTCCAATCATTATTTTGAATGACGTGTTTGGATTTGCTACAACAAATATATCTGTATATTTGACCCTGGATTATTGCTATTAAATTTTTAAAGATTTAATTATTTTTACAACAAATGGGTCAAACTCTTATACTGTTTTTTGTATGTATAATATATATTTTACGAAATAATAGAATAAGCGAATAATTGAATTGTGTTAGGAAAGTGAAAGAGTAATTGCCTTGTACGAATTTCTTCGGAATTAATGTTAAAAAATTTAAAAAAAGAATGAGAGAACAGGTTTCGTATTTGAAAGATACGAACTAAATCTGTTATTTAATCGCGTTTCTATTTTCTATATATACGTTTTCCTAGTTTTGAAATATTTTGCTATAATCGCGTAAATATATGTAGAAAAATATGTGCTAATTAACATAGACGTATGATAAATATTAAATGTTAATCAGCGCAACATTTGAACACGTCCAGGGTTCGGGCTATAAACGTGTACAGTAATTTTTATGATCAGCAATGTGGGTTTAATGACGCTGCATTAATGGAAGAAATAGAAAACACCTTAAGCCCACAAGTTCTCAGTAAATGGCAGAAGAATGAAAAGGAAAGAACGAGAAGCGGAAAAAAAGTGTCGGCAATGAGAAATTATTTTTTTTCTTTTACGTAACAACACACAGTAGGCGACGTTGTATTTCGGAGCCGAGGAGAATTACGTTGCTAAAAACCAATTCAATTCGCGCTACTCGGGATTCCTGGAGGTCGAATGATGCCAGTTTAAATGCCATTTAAGTTAATCTTGGAGCAAGTGCTTGCGCCTCGTGTATCCTGGCCATGATCTTATTACGCTGATCAAATCAAGACGCTTCAATTAACATTTCATCTGGTTTTTTGTTTTGTTTCTGTCGCGACAAATTACAAAACGAGATCTGCTTTTAGAACGGCCAAAAGAAAGTCGTCGAGAAAGCAGCGTCGAATTCGAATCGCATTTTCGACCAGTCTTACATATAGAAATCTTCACTTTTTTGTTTGTTTTTTTTTTAAATACCAAGCTAAGTTAATTAGCATGCTCATTAAAATACAATCGGAAATGGGTATTGTTGCATGGCGAACACAATGGAAATGGTTACGCAACGTGTCCGAAACTTTTTTTTTCAGATTTGTTGGTCGATGTGAGAGATAAAAGTAAATTGCTTTAAATTGATCGACGTCTTTATATCTCCAATTATATACTTGTTACACACTGTTGTTCCAAGAAAAAAGAAACAATAAGAATTTGATGAAAAAAAAATGCATCACGAATGGAAATAAAATGGCACGAAACTAATTTAATTACTTGCAACCTTGGATGCGGTTTGCGAAGCATAACTGAATGTAAGTGTATATGGAAAATAAATAAAGCGTGTTGCAGAGAAAAATGTGAAAAAAAAAATAAGTAATTAATACATAATTTAGTATTTCAATGATTTCAGATTTGAAATATACTAAATAAATATTCATTAGTTTAAAGTTACCCTTGCAGATTAAAACGTAGAATGAGCAACTACATTCTATTATATCTAAAACTTTATCAAAATTATAATTTATTTATATATTTGAGTAGACTTATAATAATTACAAACAAACAGTATAAAATTAAAAACTCGAGAATTATTGACTATAAGATGATTTCGGCATAATCATTTGTGAGTTACCCAACATCGTAAGAAGAAAAGCAGAAAAGAAATCTATAAAAAAAGCATGTTTTCTAAATGTGTAAATAACTACGGAATCAAAACAAGATTTTGATTCATACGAAGAATTCCATCTGGATAATAACACGAAAGAATAAAACAAAAACATTTCGCAGTCGGGATACATTTGTATACACAGGTATGTCCATACATTTGGAACTGTTCTCTCGATCACGTAACTCGAACGTGAACCCACCAAACAGGTTATTTCATTATGCAGACAGAGTCGAGCATTTAATACAGAAAGACGGAGACTCCATAAACGGCGTTTCGCATTCACCTAACGAAAACACCGTTCTTTAAGCGTCGATGATGTCATCTCTGCTTTGCGAAAGCCGCGATGCAAATAAGGATATTACTGCTATTAATCTGTTTCTTTCTCGAAGAACTGCAGCAGGAAGCCCAATCGTTTACCCAGTTAAAATTCATTTGGTTATATTTTCCAATTGGTTCAAAATTATAACAAAAAAGACAAGATATCATTTGACTCACTTCCTAAATCAATTATCTATACCGCATTTTGGCCTGGTTTGAATGAACTTTTTCGGTCCTTTAATGATCGCTTCCAAGCTGTTATCTTCGTTTCGCTATTCCATTGACCGATGACATCACGAACACCCAAAATAGCAGTGTCGAAATTGGTACCGTTGTTATACCTCGAACATGTTCATATGCTACAATGATTCATTAACGATACAACAATAAGAAATATTTTAAAAGAACTTTAATGATGTATAAAAAGAAAACATCTGTAATTTTATCAATATGTACATTGAGTTTAAAATGAAATATAAAGTTTCTTCTTAATTAAAATCACCCTAATCTGTTGTAATATAGCACCAAGTACCTATATTATTTTTTAGATATTTTTTTGTATTGGTAGATAAGAGTATTTCATTGCGACTCTCCATCATACTTCATTTATTTGATAATACTTCACGATAAGACATGAGAAATGACTAAAACATTAATTTGTGAGAAACGGTGCTACTGCATGTAAGTAAAATTATTAGATATCTATAAAATATCAAGAGTAAATATGTCTAAATATTGGCTTAAATTTAGCTGTTAATATAAGAAATCAATATTTTTGTTACAATTTCAATTGTAAATATAAATTGAAAATAATAAATTTACTATAAATGTACGTGTAACAAATTACTTAGTAAGTAAATTAGCGGTTTTAAGTGATTAAAAATTATTTTCAATGATTTTATAAAATCTTATTATTTTTGGATAATTTCCATTTTAAGGGATTTATTACTTGGGAATGTTGCAGTATAGATAAGATAAAAGCATTACGTCTTTTTGTCGATGTTAATATCCTTATCTGGCATATATGCTATATTTATTTTGAAATAAAAAAATGTTTCCGTCATCTCCATTATAAAAAAAATGTTTCTATAAGTTTTATTATTCTAAATTTGGGAAAGACAACATTTAAGAATACTTAATAGACGGTGTTGTTTATTAAATATGTATGCAACGTTCGCATTGCATTAATAAAAAGTGCATGGCTTTTAATCATACAATAATAAAATATTCATTACATTAATTGCCATTGCATTAATAACCATCACTTGGTATGCATTAATGATATGTTTTCATATTAATTTCAAACCACTTATAGATCAAGCACTTATAAATTAAATATCCGTTTATAGAACTACGAAAAAAAATCTAATTTAACTCGTATGAGAGTTACATTAAATAATTGCATCATATATGGTAACTGGATTATAAACAAATGTTGAGGAAAGCATCAAAAGTTTCATTGATTTTTTTTTTTCGAGTATTAAAGTTGTTTGAATTACACTTGAATATGTAAAAAAATAAAGTACTCTTTATTCTCAATTTTCAACAAAAGATGTAATGGGATTACTGGAATATAAATATTTTAGCTTAAACGCATATATATTTATGTAAATATTGCATATGTTAAAATTTAGTTAATTATTAACTGTGAATTTTTATTTAAATGATTTCTTAGTACATGAATACCTCGCATGGCGCTTTTATCAGTACGGATTTATTATAGTACAGTTTGAAAATTTTAAAACAAAACTAAATTTTAATTATGTGAAATAAAAATAAATTAATATACTGTTTATTTTTATGCGATTTTAATGTCCACGATTAGTCTGGTTTCAAACAGTACGGAATATTGGAACTGATTATTTGCACTATGCGAGTTATTGCTATTTATTATATTAGAAGACTTAGCTACCTATTATTTTTTTTTTGAGAGAAAACTAAACTATAATAATAATACAATCATTGAATAATACATACACCTTCAAATTATTTTTCCAATATTTTATAATACAATATAACTTAATGATAGCCTTTCATATTATAGAAAATGTTGTACAGAAAATGTTTGTTGTTTCGTTTCTCATACATTACACCTAAACAAACTAAATTTAGTTTGGAATGTTTTTATATTTAACATACAAGCATTTACATTGTTATTGTAATAATACAAAAACATACATTTTTCATTGAATTGTTTTAAAATATTGATTAGTTCTTGAGGATATTATATAGTATATTCAATTAAAGAGATTATTTGCCAAAGTAAATATTTATAAGAAAATTACGTCATTGGAAGTGTGAATTAAGGAAGCTTATATATGAATTTTGGAGGTGTAATGTTGTTGGAAACGCTACATTATACAATATCCTTGAAATATGCGTGTTTGACTTGTTAAGATTATTTAAAATATTGGATTTTATTTTAATTGTGCAATTATTATATTCGATTAAAAAAAATAAGTATAGCACTTAAATAAAGCAGAAAGTATGCAATTAAACAGATTGTTTTTGCAAACGCCAAAGCATATAATATGTATAGGAAAATTACGTCATTGGAAATAAGGTATCAATTTTGAAGGTGAAATATAGTTGGAAATCCTTGTAACAAACGTATTTAAATTGTTAAAATTCCAGTAAGTGCATATTCATTTGTGTTTATATTACTAAAGTCTATAAATAGATGTGTATACAGTATACTTTACGAGGTAATTGATTCATAATACTAATTTATATTAAGGAAAACCGAAATAGAAATGCCTTATACTTGTTACATTATTGCTAATGGTGTCATATAGAAGGAGATAACAATTGGATGCCTATTTGGTATATATGGTATTAAAAAAAAGAAAATATGTCCAGATGGTCGCAGGCGGCTGCTGAATCGCGTAGGACATTGGTACATGATCGGTGCAATCTGTTTTTGGGATCTGCTTGGGCGTTGTCGCTTTTTCTCCGAATACAGATCGACAGTTCGAATTGAAAAGGTGAGCAGCTCGAAATGCAAGGGCATTCACGAGTCGCACCATTTTCGGAACACCCGATTCTTCGTCACAGTGATCGCAACAGGTGTCGCAATTTCACTTTACGCAATTTCCGGTACATTCATCGGTTCTTTTTTTTTGCATCAATGGGACGAGTTACATTGATGCTGTCTGTTTGGTCATGCAATCTAATGTTCAGATTGCCTAAATGTAATTAGGATGGCGTCGGCGGCGGTGAGAATGTACACGTGCGTTCTTGAGATAAATGGTTCCTTCAAGTATATAGGCCATGGCGATGCGCGTCACCTTCAAGCGAAATTAATCATCACATCAAAATGAATTGAAATAACCGTATATGGACTGAATGATAATGAAATACATATAAGTCTGGCATAAAGTTTTCCTATCAAAACTTTTCTTATCTCGGAACGGTGAACGAAATACAAACGTCAAATATAGTAGTTATTGTTTTGTATTGTTTGAATTTGAGAAAATGCAGAACTTAATTCAGTTTTTATTTTATTAGTTATAACTCCACGATTTTTTTTGTTTATGTTGGAAAAATCTATCTTAAGATCTTCTTTATATTTTAATTGTCCAGCTGTGTGATTGTGTATTTCTCTAATATCAAAACAAAATTTATCTAATTTTAATTGATGTTTGTTCCACTTTTTCATTTGTAATTTTCAACTGGTATAATGAAAACACAATTATGATTTAAGTGTGCCGCGGAAGTTTAACTAAAATTTTCCATGAAAGAAACAAAAAGTCAAAGAACACATAATTAATTCCTTATGTTTGCCAGTTATCATGCAGTTCATTTGAAAACAACCAACAACATTACAACACTTATTGTAAAATTCCAGACATATACATTCGGTCATGTATAAAGAGACAACCAACGTGGAAACAATTAAAATGATGCATATTTTTTCGACTTATTATGTACTTGATTTTTAAGAAGGATAATGAAAGTACGATGCCATTAATATATAAATAAAGTTAATTTTAGAAAATAACAATTCGTTGGAAAAAGAAGAAACATGAACATCTCTGAAGCAGCCTTTCGCATATTAAGTAATAGAATTTATACTTACATCATCTTTACTCTAAATATTGAAAGCTATGGAATATATACGTTTTTCTGTTCACACCACTATTAACTTCAATTCGCGACTGCAACTGTTTTGGTTCTATAATTGTAAAATAATTGATATGACGAAATGAATATAGATAAGATAACATTTCATATGCATTCGGTGGCGCAGCATCCGTCATAATAAACTTACCGGAATATTAAGTAGTTATGACAACTGCTTGAAATAAATCCATTTGTTTTGGAAATATCCTACGTAACTATCTAACGAACTTCAATCTTTATCAATTTGTTTCCGTTGTAATCAATTTATTTATTTTTATTAATTGACTTTGATACATTGACATTATGTGATTTATCGATTTACTGATTTTTGTTTTACTACAAGATTTCAATCATCAAAATATATATATAGAAATTGTGCTAAATTATAATTGTTGAATAGTTAGAAGCTGATTCATAGGTGAAGTACCTATACTTTTGAACACACGTGAATAATTCGAAATCGATATGCCTTAATTTATTTAGTACATTGAATTGAACCTCATAACCTTGACTTAAATTTCGATTTTAAATTTGTAGTAATTATTTATTTAGTGACTGTAATACTAATGTAATTAAGTAGTCACGTCAACTTGATTAAGAACTGAGGTAGATTCATATATCAGTATTAAGTTTTTAACAGAGATACAGCACGCAATCATATTATATTTTAAAATCTGATCTAATTCTTGTCCTTGAAACGAATACAAATTATTATTTACAATTTTTATACATCTGTTCTTTTAAGTAAATTGTATATTCATATATATTATTGCTTTAGTATAGTAGTAAAGCGTGGAATTTTGTGTGATGTTGAAGGATGATGATGATGATATTATGAAGGGACGAGGGCGGGGGTGCAATTGTATAGGGTAGTTTTCAGAATGGGCTGCAGCGGCAGTAGGGAATGTGAACGGGATGGCGACGCGCCAGGCCGCGCTCGCTCCGTGTTTTCTGCCTCGGTATTTCACCCTCCTGGGAAATAATTAAAGAAAGAATACCGTCACGCATCGAATGTTTTTGTGGTGTTAACAAGAAAGTGAATCGATCATCCTAATAACCTAAAACGCCTTTGTTTGCAGTGTTAATAATCAATTTGCACCTATGAATAGTAAATGTAAAATACCATTCAACCCTCGACACAAAGTGGGTCACTAATACCAAAAGAAACTAGCCGACGTTTCATGTTTTCTTATAAATCATTTCCATAGAATTTCGCATATCATTTAATTGTAAAACTAGTTTTGCTGTCGTGTCTTTTATTCGTTTTTTATGAGAGGACAAATAAAGCAAAATTATCGCAAAAACAAAATCAATCTAGACTAGATCAGTATTCCAACGCTCGATTATTTATGGTGCTACAAGAGAATCTCAATAAACTTTCTGATTGGATTCGATTAAGGTAACAGCATACGATGAACTGGAACAAATGCAAATTTAAGTTAAGGACAGATCGCGTGATTTTATGGAAAATGGATTAACTGCGTGCCAATAAGTTATATCCCCCAATGGAAATTTAATGGATCACGGATTCTTTGCACGGCACAAACAAGACAACCTTGTTTTTTTCTCAGATGGAAATTAATTATATCAAACTAAAATATTCAACGCTTTATTGATTCATCGCTAATTACTTTCATACATAAATAATATAAGAATCTTAGCCATCACGTTATTTTATATTATCGTATCTTGGCAACAATTTGTAAGCTATTATAAAATGTGTATTAAATTTTATATTCTCCCATTACAGCCGACACAGTTGCCCTCACAATCCTGACAACTATAACGACCATCTTCATTTGGAAGGTCCATTCACTGGTCAACCGAAAGATGATTATCATGTGGTTAAAGGAGAAAGGGCACCGATCAAAATTCCGCAGGATAACTTAAAACCTGAAGGTGAATTCACTAAGCGCATTCCAGAAGAATGGCAACCAAGCGAACGACCAACGCCTAAGAAACCGCAAGATAACTTACATCCCGAAGGCGAATTCGAGAGGAGAAAACCAGATGAGTGGAAACCAAGCGAAAGGCCAGCGCCTAAGAAGCCGCAAGACAACTTGTTTCCCGAAGGCGATTTCGAGAAACGCAAACCGGATGCATGGCAGCCAGGCGATAGGGCTCCGGTTAAGAAGCCAGTAGACAATTTGCGCCCGGAGGGTGACTTCGAAAAGAGAAAACCTGAGGAATGGAAACCCAGTGAAAGACCAACTCCTAAGAAACCGCAAGACAATTTGTTCCCAGAAGGCGACTTTGAAAGACCGAAGCCTGAAGCGTGGAAACCAGGTGATAGGGCTCCGGTCAAGAAACCTGAAGATAACTTAAAACCCGAGGGTGAATTTACGAAACGCAAACCAGACGAATGGAAACCGAGCGAACGACCAACACCTAAGAAACCACAAGATAATTTACATCCGGAAGGTGAATTTGAAAGGAGGAAACCTGATGAATGGCAGCCGGGAGACAGGGCACCTGTAAAGAAACCAAAAGATAATCTTAAGCCCGAAGGAAACTTCGAAATTCCCGAACCTGTAAAGTGGACTCCAGCTGAAAGACCTGTTGCCAAGAAGCCGCAAGATAATTTGAAGCCTGAAGGTGACTTTACCGGAACTCGAACGATTATTGAAGATTATCGACTTATTCGTGGGGATCGAGCTGACATCACTCGCCATGAAGACAATATAGTTATGACTGGAGAATTTATTGGTAAGAATATTCTTTGGTGGTTGTAAATATTTCTTAATTAACAACATTTCATATTGCAGACGAAACCACAAGTAGAAGGGACTTCACTGGCGAATTGGTAACAAAAGTTAGTCCTATTCGTAGAAACACTTGGACTAAAATTGAGGGTGAAATTATAACTGATACGACAAATCGATCAGAGTATATTGATTATACAAATGTCGAAAGAACAACATTAGTAAAGAAACCCGAAGATAATTTGAAACCTGAGGGTGAATTTGAAAGGCCGGAAAAACTTGGATTCAAACCTGCTGAGAGACCAAAACAAAAGAAACCTCAAGATAATTTACGCCCAGAAGGAGATTTTGAAAGACCAGAGAAACAAGACTTCAAACCTGCAGAAAGACCAAAGCAAAAGAAACCTGAAGACAATTTGCGTCCAGAAGGTGAATTTGAAAGGCCAGAGAAACCAGGATTCAGACCAGCTGAGAGACCAGAACAAAAAAGGCCACAAGATAATTTGCGTCCAGAAGGTGATTTTGAAAGACCAGAGAAACCAGGATTTA